CGTTTTACTACTATATAATTAACGTACTATACTACTCACATTAAAACATGTAAAACTGCAATTTAAATTAAGAATATTATTATTCGAAACAAACCGAGATTTCTATTAGCACAACTCATATCCATTACTTTAATTCAACAAAATATTTTGCCATATATAAATTATGTTTAAATTAAACATATATATTTAAACCAAATAGGCATTATATGACTTTATTTGTTAAATAAACAAATTTGTTAAATTTGTTAAATTGTTTAATAAAGGGCCATTCCACGTTTCTCGGGAATTTTTGTCCCGCCCGTCACAATTAATTAAAAATTGTGAATAAAAACTACAAGTTATAAAATTTATTTAAAAATATTGTTTTATTATGATTTTAATAAGTTATAAGGCGAGACAAAAATTACCGAGTAACGTGCAATTCCCCTAAAGTAAATTATTTAAGCTTGATATTAGTTATAATTAAAGTAAATGTTTAGTAGCTCACAAAAATTATTAATTAGATTTATTAAATATTTAACATATAATGCGATATAATGCTAGTATGCAGGTAATATTATTTAATTGTAAATCTATAGGTATAAAACAATAAGTGAAACGATTAATCCTTACCACAACAACCTAAGATTTTCTACATTAACATACCTAATCAAATCGATGTATACAGATTTTGTTTACCTCAAATTGTATTTATAATGATGCAAACTTATCTTAGTTTTATTCTGCTTCCACTGGATGTATAAATGTATATTTTGGATATGTTAAAGCCCTTAACGATAAATTAAGTTTATTTTTAATTTACATTTGTAAAATTATAAAATTATAGCCATTTACGGTAAAAAAAAATGTATAAGAGTGAATTTTGAAAATGTTAAAGCTCTTATATTCATTAATATGTAGGAGATACGGTTTTTTTAACGATTAAAAATGTTAAATTATTTCGACAATTTCTATTTCTATAATGCTTAAATAGGTGCATGTTTTGTAGGGTTTCACTTTTTAAAAACAAGGGGTCAAAAAAACTTGAATTTAAAACATTTATAATTTTAATAACAAAGGTTGTAGATGAAAATGGAAGGATCACAATTTTTGCTTTTGAAATTTTGAAATAGTTGGGATGTAAACAATGTTTACTAAACATACTAAAAGTCCCCACTCCTAGGATAAACCCATTTTATATAGAATTAAAGCTGAGAAACTTTTTTTTCTATTAAAATTCCCTAATTTTGACAATAAAAATAGTAAAATATTATACAGGGTGTTTAATTCATTATTTGTACCTACGCTTTTTTTTTCAAAGTTGGTAGCGAGTCTTTACTAGTCTCCCCTTTTCCTCCATACTCAAATTGGTTATTATCAATAACGAGGCCCATTTGTGTTTCATCAGAAAATAAAACATTTTTCCTCTGGGGTAAAAACCAATTTTGACGATCACGGGCCTTTTCCAAATGAGCTATACATGTTGAATATCGACTACCGTCTTTTATATAAATAAAAGTATTTTTAATTCTTTATTTCGTATTCTTAATGGAAAAGTATTAATATATAAAAGAATTATCATAGATCCACGTCGCTCCTCTTATACTACTATATAATCTGACATCTGTCAGATAGACGTTATAACCTTAAAACTGTACGATTTTTAAGTTTTGCTTGATAAAAGTGTTACCAAGTAGAAACATGCCGCTAACCAGTACTTTTACTATGTACGTTTTCTTTAATTAAAGTATGCTCTTTTTTTAATAATGCAAAAAAAGTTGTTTTATATTAATAGCGATAACTGTATTTTTTAATATAGTGGCTAAATCACCATCACGCTCTATTTAAGTTAATTAGGTTTCTTTTTACAGTAAATAGGTGAGAAACACTGCAACACGATAAAATTTGCATTAAAAAGTCGAAATAATTTTGCAACTTATAAAAACATTATTTGGTATTTTTAATTAAAATAACACAACCTTAACCAGAAACAAATTTAGTTTATTATGAAATGCGAATAATGTTCTCATTGGTCCATTTAATTTGGCCAGAAAAACGTTTTGACGATCTCCGATTGGAATCCGAAAGCAAGGGTTTATAAAATGTTGGCCTAAATACAAGATAAATATGATGCCAAGATCCATCATATGTAAATAAGTTAATTTATTAAAAAATTTAAAAGTAGTCTAAAAGATCTTGTCCAAGTTTACCCTTATCATAAAGGAAAGTTGCTCTGCAATACATCATAATTATGATAATATTATTAATAATATATTATTATTATTAATAATAATTATAATTATTATGATTATATGATAATAATCGTTGGTGCGACCAAAAGAACACCTAATCTTCTGTTCTGATCCTGTAAAATCTGAACAACCGATTAAGGCCATATTTTCACAATGAGACAATGGGTTATAGCTATGCTAGGATCCGATAGGTGGCGCTGTAGTCAAATTCTATCACATGGTCACTTGGTATGTGAATTCTATTATAATACATTAATCCCGGCGAATTCGCCATTATTTTATACTTTGGCATATATTTATATACAGGGTGTCCGAAGTTATCTGTTGCCTGTTATTATTTTAATTAAACTTAAAAATTATTAATACTAATAAAATATAATAATTATTTTGTTAAGAAAATATGTTATCCTTTGATTTTTTTATCACAATAATTATCACATAGTATTCAAAATTCATACACGGGAAATGTTAAACTATGTAAAAGTTTTGTATTAAAATAATTTTCACATTTAGTATTATTTTACAAGAAAGGTACTTTCAACATTTGACATATGTCAACTAACTTAAAACCAACTTCAGTCCGTGTAAAAACCTGTAGCTAACTTAAGCCAGTGACTATAGCGCCATAAAGCCACAACTTGTCAATGCGTATTTAAAAGGTCACTTAGTGTCATGGAAACATGAACAATAATGGGAGTTTTAAAGGTGGGAGTAGAAAATTGTATATTATGTATCAAGTTTGATAAACGCCATTTTATACACGAATTTAATTTAGGCACGAGCGAGCGTGCTTAAATTAATGAGTGTATAGAAAAGTTTTTAAACGAGGTGCATATTATACTTTTTCCACGACAAATACTTATTATTATCTTAAAATGATTTTAATCAAATATTTGTATAGAGCGCCATCTATGAAACAATAGGGGAATCTGTGTGTCACCGTCAAATGTCAAATTTTAATATTTTATAAACACAGATTCGATGTATTCTTTGACAATGGACAGTTTTTCACAGTGAAAGTAAAGAAAATGTTTTATGAGCACTTTACAGTGGAGTCCGTGCCCGAATTTAAGTTATAATTTACTGCCCGCGAAATTTAAAGGTCAGTACAATGTTCATATAAACTTTTCAAATATTGGCGTTGAGAAACAATTTATTACTTTTGTATTTTTGTATTGAGATAATAAAATAATTTTCACATTTAGTATTATTTTACAAGAAAGGCAATTTATTTTAACGATTGTATGACATTTGACAACTGTCAACTAACTTAAAACTAACTTCAGTCCGTGACTAAAAACCTGTTGCTAACTTCAGCCCGTGACTAAAACGCCATAAAGCCACAACTTGTCAATGTGTATTTAAAAGGTCAATGGTTATCTTAATTAAATATATAGTAACGTTTACTAAATATTCTGATTAGTATAGGCACGGCCATATTTACTGTTATGTTAACCATGTTTATATTGTAACAGTTTTATTGTCACTTTAACTATATTTTTGTTGTTGCACAAAACAATAATTTATTTAGTTATAATAATCATATGCAAATACCTTATAACCCTCTATATGGTTAAATATACTATACATATGATATGTATAAACTTTCTGTATATTAAAACTACAACGACATATTGTTAATAATGTGTGACAACATTATATTGTTACTGTAACCAGATAATCTTATAATTTTAACCATCTAGTGTAGTACTAACAGTTTAGCCGTACATGATGGCGTAATCAAATATCTAACTTTACTAAATTTTTATAACAAAATGATTAGAGTACATATAACAAAACTAATTTTACGTATATTGTTATTACAACCATAAGTTATAATTAAATGAACCATATTTTGCATAACAAATCTATATTGTTAGGGATTACAATATATTTTCTTAGAGTGTAGTGTTATGAAACATAAACAATAATGGGCGTTTTAAAGGTGGGAGAAGAAAAAATATATTTATATCATTAGTAATACCTATTCATAACATTTAGGATCACGTACCCGCGTGTTACAGTGTTTTCAGACAAACAACTTCATATTCTGGGTAGACAGATTTATTGCACGGGCAAGCAGCAAGAGATTATATTCTTAATACGAAAATTTATTATACAAACTGAAAATTGACTGAAATTTCGTTTTCTCGGATTTAAAGAGAAACAGAAAAATGATTAAAAAAGTTTGCAGTTTTTGTCGAGATTTTTTTAATGATAATACTTTCCTTCAAGATTAGTGTGCCATGTTGTGAATTATTTATTAAAAATGTATAATATGCAAAAACCGAAAATGCGAATGGCGAATAGCGTGTTAAATTATAACATAAAAGTGTATTTTTCATCAACATCGTAAAATTTGTAGTTTTAATTTTTCATAATAATGGTTTTATGCCTACAATATAAATTTGTATTAAGTATTTATATTTGAATTGTCATTTTTAATTATTATTTTTTTAAATATTTTACTGGTTTTTTTAAAACATAAACGAACTTTTATGTAGTTCTAATTTTTTAGATAATGATTTTTACTAAAGGTGGGTATAAAATCATGGAATGTGTAAACTGAAAAATATAGCAGGCAATTAAAATTATTTTTTAATTTAAAGTTATTCAAATGGCTTTTAGTTTCTCTCACGGAAATGGGTAATTATGCAATAAATTAATTAACATAAATACGATGATCTTGTTAAACTAAAAGACAAATTTATTACAGCAATATTCATATCGCCATATAAATAATTTATTTAAATTAACATTTTCTATCCCGCTGAAATCGGATCTAGTAGATTAATAATTATTCAGTCGTGCAAAATTAAATATTTTAATAAGTAAAAGTTTAGAATATGCTACGAGTATTTATTTTTTCTTTTTCTTATCCTTCTTGCCTTTCTTTTCCTTTTTCTTCGGTGATTTCGATTTTTCTCGCTCGAGCATTTCCTGTTCCCGCTCCCTTGCCCATCTGATCCTTTTCACGATATCGTCAATGTACTTCTGCCTGTCTTCATAAACGTCAGTCATCATATCATTAGAATCTTCTCTAACGTCTAAAAGTTAAAACCATTAAAACACCTTCCTAGTTAATGTTTAAAAATGGGGCGCTGAAATGTTAAATGGCTAAGTCATAATTTAGGAAAGTATGAAGTTTAAATTCCACGTTTTTATTAAATTTTTATATTAAAACATAAAAATTAAATCAAACTAATTAATTAAATACAAATGTGGACCAAATCTTTCTAAAATTAATCATGCCATTAAATTTTACAAAAAATCTAAAGATCATATAATATATTTTATCTATTGTTTTTTTGTAAATATTGATAAACTATGGCACGCCGTTTTACTTTTTAATGACAAAAATTAACTCAAAACATAAATTATCAAAATTAAAATATGCCTAGAAAATATAAACGTTCATAAAAATTACTAAATTAAGTTTAATTATAAATTAAAATCTACTAATTTATTTTTTGGTTTATTGGATAAATATATATAGTTTTTGTTGTATGAATATTTTTTTCTATTTAAAAAAGGTGCTTATATGTAAATAATAATATTTCATTTATAAATTTAAAATTAAGTTAAAGTAGAATATTTATTTTGGAATAAAAATTAGACACGATTTAAATCTGTAAGCGCAAGGCGAATTTTCTCGATGAAAAATTCGATGAATTAAAATGTTGTTTAACACTCGTAAACAGAATTTTAATTTGGCGCTAGTGCATAGTGCGGTTGTGTTACGTACTACTGCCTCCAAGCGAAACCACATAACGTCGAAGTACATAAGCTCGAAAATAAATTAGGCAACAGTGCAGTCCAAAATTTTCAGTGCTATCAATAATGTATATCGACATGATTATGATTATTAAATTATGTAAGGGGTGCATTTCAACAAAACTGCCCTGCTGGCTAACCTCACTTTATACGAAATAATTTAGATATGGATTTCAGACTCTCAAATTAATTGTGGTTGATTATTTGGTTAGTTGTCTATGCAATAGGATTTCTCTCAGAAGAAGATAATATCTATATAATATTATTTATATAATTACCAGAATTGTCCTACGTTACGTGTCCGAGCCGACTACCTGTACAGTATAAATAATCCACAAACTTAATAAATGTAATTAATGGTGGATTGAAAATATTGTATTGTTTTTTATCTTTTAGTCGATAAAAACCAATATTTTAGTAAAAAAGATTTTCTTTATTTTTATTTCAAAAAATTAATTAACAAATTAGATAAGAAATTAAGGAAAGCAAAACAGGTAATTAAATAAAATGGCAGCACTGAATTTGAATGCACCGTTGCCTTCGACGTTAAGTGATTTCGCTTGGTGGCAGTAGTACGTAACACAACCGTACTATGCACTAGCGCCAAATTAAAATTCTGTTTACGAGTGATAACCAACATTTTAATTCATCGATTTTTTCAGTCAGAAAATTCGAGGTACATAATATTTATTCCAAAAAATAAAAGTAAGGAATTATTATTCTGTCACATACAAGTACCATTGAATTTATTATCTAAAAAAATAATCTGATTAAAATAAATATGGCAGAAAGGTGCTTAAATGAAAATTCGTATTGCTAGATTTAAATAACATAATAATTAATAACAACTATACCACAACTTTATTCCCGAATAAAAATTGTTTCAAAGTGTTTTAAACAACAAAATAATTCGTATTAAAAGTAAATATTAAAATTTTTAAAAATAATAATAAAAATAAAATTGTGTTCAATTCTTTTTAGTCAAATAAAATTTTAAGTAATATTAAAAACATTTATCAGTTCGGCTTCAGCTCTCGAGAAGACGAGTCGCGTCACGCGGGCGAGCTCTTGAAACGTAAAAGTTTAAAGATGAAACCAACAATAATTAAAAAAAAGGGGTGCGAACTGATAAGTGAAACAAACATTTTCATGGAGTTCAAGCTAAATGGTGTAACGGTCATTGAGGAGTGGAGTGTTGGGTAATATGAATGACTTGGGTGCCACCTGTCATTGGAGGCTTTTCACTGGACGGACGGGGGAGGTCGGAGAAGAGGGGAGGTGGCCATCCGCAAAGGGAAAAATCTGATAAGTTTTACTTTAAGAGTATGCATGACCTGATACAAATCTGCAATATAAATACGGCAAGCATTTTCCGTTATTTGTCACCATTAACATTGCCCGTATTCATTTCATTAAACATAACATTTATTTTACTTGAAAATGTTAAAATAACTTTAAAATATGATTATGTTAAGAACTTTAAACAATTGTTTTGTTTTTAATTACTATCATTGCAAAATTGTATTAAAAAGTGTTAAAAATTCTTACACGGGCAATGTTAATGGTGTTAGGTATCGTTAAAGTGTTTATTGGGATAACTTTAAAACCCATGAAGGGCACGCGGCGTGGGGCAATAAGTCTGTCAACAGCAAATGCGTAAGGCGGTCCCAATCGAGACCGAAATAAACACTGGACTGACAGAGTAAACTAACATTGAACACATAATTCTAACACATTAAAAAAAAGGGCCTAATAGCCAAACTCGAGATTTGTAAACATTAGACAACAGAATAATCGCGCTTGTGATTTGTTTGACTAGTAAATAAATGCAAGCTTTGGAATTTGATAAACAAAGACGGAACTCTACCACAAAATGTGCTTGGGACAAAAATATTAAAAACAACTGACACACTTTACCAAGGGCAGGAACTATCTGACCAGAACACGGACAATGACAATAACGAACAAGACAAAGACCTTGACTAGGAAACTACACCCCTGCAGCGAAATGACAACTCCCCAACTCCAAATAGTAATCCCAAATGTTTGGAGTATTACTAATCGACTGGTCTAGGGGGATTCCGCGTCGTACTTAGTTTTAAGTCGGCGTAATTGTCCCCCAAAAACCAACTCCCTCCCGTCCCTCATCCATACCCCACCGAGCGTATAGCATAGGCTCGGCGAACCCGGGAATGGCTATTATAACTATTCGCCTCTCGCTCTCGAGCCCCAAATAGGGGACAGTACGGAACGCAATGGACATTCGCACCCAGCAAACACGGGTGAAGCCGTGCAGTTGCTGGGGAAGAACAAAAATCGGCGTAAGTAAACATAGGCCTGTACGGGGTTCGAGAGTCAAGAGGAAATGGGGCTGGTTATACGTCTCTTATACTCATACTCATACTCATATTAAAAACATTTAAATATTAAAACAAATATTTCGTGCAACATATTTGTGTGTCGAATAAGAAACTTTATCACTTTAATTTCTAAAAGGTTAATTGATTTTTATGTCGACGAGTAATAAAAGAAATTAATTCCGACATAATGATAATTTCAGTATTACTTTTTCTTAAATAAATGTCGCGCACCTTGAATTAACTGGCTAAGAAATTCGATGAATTAAAATTTTGGTTCAATTTGACTGCGTGTTTCACAAGTAGCGCCTTATTAAAATTATCTCAATCCAAATTTTAATTCATCGAATTTTTTAGTCAGAAAATACGCCATTCAGTTCCAGAATTAAAATTACTTTAATTCTTATTCTGTGCTTAAAGTTGTGTACTTAATATACCAAGACATCATAAATTTTTTACTTTAAAATGTTCAGTCAATTTTTAAAAACGCAACTTGAATTAATATTTAGCTTTAATAAACATGACATTAAAAAGTAAAACGGCGTGCCATAGATAAACATTATGAACTTGCTGCTTAGCAACGGGAATAATAAACTCATTATTCACGTTTCAATATTTACTGTGATTTGAACCAATCGGATTTAAAATTGGGAGAAGACTATAATAATATTTAAAATATTTAAAATAAGTAAAAAGTGAGTTTTACAATTTGACAAATGTCAGATTTTATTTATTTATTTTTAAAAATCATTTAATTATCTACCTATTGGAATAGATATTACACTCGACATTATGCGCATTATTTATTCGGATGATTTAGGTCTCTTGTCTGGCGACTCGAGACGCACACCTCATCCCAGTGAATATTATTGTACATTATTATTAATTTAAAATATTATTATTATTAAAAAATAGTAAATTGTTCTATAAGTAAAAGAACGTACAAGTTTTTTAGAGAGTGAAAATTTCCACTTTTCTTACGCATTCAACACGTGCTTTTTTAACATTCTTAATGAAAAAGCTTATCACATTATAATAGTCGCTCCTTGTATTTTACCATAAAATATGACATAATGACACCCGTCATTGCTGAGTAAAAAATTTTTTCTAATATAAAACTAGTACTTTTCTTTAAGATTTTTCCTCAGTAAAGTATAACTACACACATCAACAAAGTCTAGGGATAATCGTGAAAATTTGCTATAAAACAATTATTTTTATCAAAAAAACTCTTATTTTTTTGTAGGATATTCTCACATGTATTTTAATCATTTGTTATAGTAATATTTTGTTTTTTAATTATTTACTGAAAAAATGTATCCTTAGACGTTACCGAAAAATTGTTAAATAAGTATAGATTGTTACGGTTGAAATAGGTGACAGCAAATGTTTGTGGTATTTATTACCACAACAAAAATGTTTTTAAGTCTTAGTAATGTTAAATGAGATGTCGTGTTACATATTAAACATTAATAGCTTCTTAAGCAGTACTACAACGTTGTGGTATCAAATAGAATTACCGAATTTTAATAGTTACTACTGCATTATAGTAAGTCTGAACATTCTTTAGTCGTTTGAAATATGCTTTAAGTAAGATATATTTAATAACAACGAAATGCTATTAAAAAGAGTAATATTTATTATTTATTAACTTATCAGGGTAATATTTTGTACTTGTATAACCAGTATGTGCTAATGTTACGGTATTTAACCAATAATTTTCTTATTTGGTAAGCAGTACTACTTCCAAACGTAAAGTTACCAGATTCTGTCAAAAAATAGAGGGACATTTTGTGTAAATTAACCTTAATTACAAAAATGATACATTAACAATAATTAAGTAGGTAACGTAATTTTTCAATTTGCATTGTATCATTGTGTTAATTTTGTAATTAAGGTAAATTCATACAAAATGTCCCCCTATTTTTAGACAAAATCTGGTCACTTCATCCAAAGGGAATAAATACTGGATTAAAAGGTTATCGATTATCGATTTTTTGGTGTTATGTAAAAGTATGCAGTAAAGGTTATAGGATAAAAGAGAACATGTTTTTCAACAAATCTTTATTAAAAAAATATATATAAAATTTTTAGAATAAAATAAATGATATCTTCTCCTTAACTTTTATGATAAACAAAAAAACCTAAACCAACAATAATACAATATATATATTAAATATGAGAATGTGTAACAATATAACATTTAATAAAAATATAATAAATAATTTACTTATTTGTTAAATTTTACTTAATATTAAACAAGTGTTTGTCATTCCCAAAAGGGTTAGCTATAAGTTTTCAAACTCATAGCCCCACTGTATAGATATTACCACAGAACACTTGTTCTGTGGATATTACTAATATATTAAAAAATAACGTCAAAACTCTTCAAAACAAATATTGAACATGAATCTTATTATAATAATACCTGTAACTTACAGGCTGTAAGAAGAAATACCCAAATAGGTTTTTAACAAAAAAGCATAGAAAATAATAGTTTTTCTATGGTAAAGGGCAAAAATGTTTATCCCGTCAAACTATTAAATAGAATGAAGTAAGTACCCCTTTACAAGCAAAAGCAAAAAGCGTAATATTAGAATGAAGCAAATTAAAGTTATGTTAGGTATATATTCTTAATAATACATAAATAATTAAGTATTTACTTACCCTTAAAAACACAAATTAAATCTTGTAACTTCCAATTTATTAGCAAATCGTCCATTGAGGCGTCTTTATGCAAGCTTACTAACAACAATGACGATTGTGCGTGATGAACAGTATAGATAAGCTTTGTTTTAGTATTAACAAAAACTAAATTTGTAAGATATAATAGAACGTTGTAGTAATACTTACCATAAATGTTTAGTGCCGATGAAAGAATTCATATTCGGAAGAGTTACTTGTTACTTGATTTACTTATAATATCTGTCTGAGTTGTTTATAAATTAACGATGTGGTATTAGTTTGGCAGCATTTTGTAATACTTTTAAATAGGATCTGTTTTAGTTAAGCCTACTATAACAACTGTTACATATTTGACATATTTCCTGTTGTTATATATTAAGGGTTTTAGGTCGCCATTAATACTAAAGCATGTATTATTTCATACTAATTTAGGCTACATTTTTGTTGCAGTATTACTAGATAAATGCTTAGTTTTTTTTATGCATCGTAAATGTATATTAAACATTTTGCCTTTTTATTTTCTACTGAACCTATACTACAATTACGTAGTAGTAAAAATTTTTAAATAAAAATTTTCAGTGTTGTTAAAAAAATATTCAACAAAAAAGTTGTATACTAAATTCGAAGGTAGTGGTCTATATAAAAACTGCAAACAAAAACGCCAGAAAACTTACACTCTGCTGATAAAAATATTCAGTTGAGTTTGCAAAACCATGGCGAGAAGACATTTAACGAATGAAGAAATGTTAAGAGCTATTGGGATGATTGAAGCGGGTGCAACCCAACAAGCAGTTGCCGCTCAGCTAGAAACATCACAAAGCGTGATAAACAGATTGTGTCAACGCTATCGAGAGACCAACAGTGTGAATGAAAGACATCCAGGCCGAGGAAGGCTTACAACGGCAAATCAAGACCGCTTTATTGTTCTGCAGGCCAGAAGAAACCGATCTCAAACTGCATCTGAGTTGGTTGCTGAGTTGCAATTGTCACATAATGTGACTGTGAGTGCTCAGACCATCAGAAGACGATTACATGAAAGAAATCTTCATGCTAGACGCCCTCTCAGGGTTCCCCCTTTGTCCGCTGGAAATCGAGTAGCTAGACTTTTGTGGGCCCAGGAGCATTTAAATTGGTCTGATGAACAATGGTCCACAGTTTTGTTTAGTGATGAATCTCGGTTTGGCCTGCATCCAGACTCAAGAAGAACGAGGGTATGGCGATGTCCCGGACCAGCAGCACGGCTAGAAACTGCTCAAGAGGTCCATACTTACCGTGGTGGAACTGTTATGGTGTGGGGTGGCATCAGCGTTGGAGGAAGAAGTGATCTCATTCCACTTCAGGGATTTTTAAACTCAATTTCTTATCGAGATGTTATCCTTCAACCCTTCGTGATTCCCTATGCTGCAGCTGTTGGTCCAAGATTCATTTTCATGCACGACAATGCCACCCCACACAGTGCACGAATAATAAGTGATTTCTTGGATGAAGAAAATATCGACGTTCTTCCATGGCCAGCACAATCCCCGGACTTAAATCCGATAGAGCATCTGTGGGACATGTTACAAAGGCGGGTTATGCGTAGAAATCTTTTTTTTAATAATCGTCAAGAGCTCATTTTAAGTTTACAAAGGGAATGGGCCGCAATTGACCAGGAGGCAATTGATGCATTAATTTTGAGTATGAACAGACGGTGCAGAGCTGTGGTGAATAGTAGAGGAGGTCACACCACTTATTGACATTATTTTTGCCTTTATAATAAAGTTTGATTTTTTTTGTTATTTTCACTTCATTGTTTAATAAAGCTATTTTAATTTCATTGCATATTTTTATGACTTTTCATTCAAAAATGGAAAAAATATATATGTGAGAATATCACATAAAAAAAGTGAGAGTTTCTTTACAAAAATAATTGTTTCATTGCAAATTTTCACGATTGTCCCTAGACTTTGTTGATGTGTGTATAAAGTAATACTTTATTGAGAGAAAATCGTAAAAAAGCACTAGCTTTATACTATATAAAGTTTATAGTTAGCAATAATTTTAAACAACACTTTTCTTAATGACACCGTTAGTTTAACAGTGGTTTTATTTTTAACACAGGGTTATTTTTCATAACTGGCTTGCACCGTAAATTAATCCTTGTTTAAATACCTCTAAACTACTGTTAAAATAAACCTCCAATTTCGGTGGTTTAAATTACTTTAATCCATCGGTTTTTTTTTCAAAGATATTATTTATTGACATCTTTAGCAAATCCAATAAATATAGTTATAGGTATAGAGGTCAGCAACTCTATAATAAGTCTCTACTTATAAAAACCAGAAATATAATAGAAAGGGTATTTGGAATTTGGAAAAGAAGGTTTTTAGTGTTGGCATATGGCTTAAAATTAAAACTAGATACAGTTTTGTCCATTATTCCAGCTGTAGCTGTACTACAAAATATTGCTAGAGACATAAATAAACCAGAGCCGCCATTGCCTGATGATATTAATGCCATGAACTGGAGTACCCTGTTGTTACTCATCCACAAGATCGCATTATGTTTCAAAATCAATTAATACAAGATTATTTTGCGAATTTATAAAATTTAATGTGAATAATATTTTTGATGTTTTATACTTATTTAAAATTAAAATAAAATAAATTCTTGTTTATTATTATAACATATTAAGTTTTTCTTTTCCTTCTAAAATTTTTAAATCCGAAAGATTCACTTTTTTTTCATCCTTTTTATTGTTAATTTCCTGCTCTAATTGTTTTAGCCCTATCTGTCTCTTGGTTTTCAATTATACCCTTGTATCCACAAGATTAATTAAATGATTTTTTTCATTTTCTGAATAGAGGAGCGCCCCCTTTTTTCAGGATCTGTATCCATATTATTCTCTCTTACCATCAACTGAATCGGTCGTACATGAAATAGAATTGAACCACAGATGATAAAGAATTGAACAACAGATTATAAAGAATCTGACTCTTAACCTTATTCTTTTTCTATGCTCTTAACGTCAAAATATATTTGCGTCACAAATAAGTGTAAAGTTAGTTATTAGGACCAATCTTTTCCATTTTTTAGTCAAATTCCCTAGATCACCAGTTAAATTTTAAACCATAGTAAAAAAATCACGGTGCAAGATTTTGATAGATAGATAGATAGATAGTTTATTGATCCAAAGGGCATATTTACATATGTATAGGACAAGTCAAAATTGGACACTAATCTCCTGTTACCTTTTAACTTGTCAGTTTATTTAATTGATTATAAAAATGATATGGACCAATCGCGCCTAGGCCATAAAAATTCATTTACTACTTTGAATCAATAAAAAAATTCGACTTCTATCAGATCGATCAAACCTCACTTTTTACTTTTAATAATTGTTAAAAAATGGAATCTTAAAACTGTCCCACAAAATGAATATTTTTGTTAGAGAGTATACAACAACTTTTCTGTGGTACCTTGGTGGTACTTTGGGTAGGCTGAATCCAAAATAATTTACTTGCGCAAGATTGCAAAAAATCATTTAAATTCAGTTTTCATAATTATAAGTTTTGAACCAATTATAAACAAACTATTAATTTTTTTATTACATTTTCTGGATGTAAACTATCGCGTTGCAAAAAACTATTGAAAACATCAAAATAAAAAAATCGCGAAATATATTTTATGGCGTTCCAGGAGTCCTAACTTGACTCTAGACTTCTTTTACAATACGAATTTTTTGACATTTATTTTGAGTAATAGTAAAATTGAGCTAAATTTTGTTTTGTTAAAAACATGATTATTTTAATTGAAATAAGGGGCCGTCTATAAATCTCGTGACGCTAATAATGGTCAAAATTGATCCTCTTCCTTGTTACAAAATATGGCGGATGTGAAGAACCCCCACAAAGTGTCATGTGACGAATTAGTGAACCACCATATAATAATCTGACTAAAAATTAAACAAATAAGCAATTAAATTTACTTTGTTACTTGACGTTTTAAAAAACACTCCTTTTTATCCATAGCTAATGATAAAGTATTTGATTATAAAAAACTTTTTTTGAAATTTTTGTCATCATGTTTAATTATTATATACCCTAGAAAAATAGCTATTGACCAGGGATACAATCATTACATACCGTCATCATACCAGTCATTTAACAACTCGTATGTATCAGATGTTTGTTCCGCTAATTCGGTAAGTTGTTCACAAAATATTTCCTGACTCATCTCGAATTCTTCCATCTTTAATAACCTTTCATTCTCTTCATCTTGTAAATCTTCACTAGTTAAAACTATTCGATCTAAAAAATCAATTTCATCTAATGGCATATCCATATATTCTTGTGGATCCAGTTGGGGCATCAGGTTTGTAAGTAAAAGAGGATTTGCTAGTGAACAACCTTGAATGCTGGGAATACTTGGGACTTTGACGGTTCCTGCTACTGGAACTACAGAGGCGAAGGTTGTTTTTACTTCAATTTGGTATTGCTGAGCTATGCTGTTTCTAACGAAATTGTATGTTGAATTTGAAAACAAGCTTTCGCTATTTTCATCTTCCAAGTCTTGTTTGCTATCAGCTTTTACTGATTTAAGGATGTTGTCTTCTATGTATTCAGCTCTAAAATATACTGTGTTTGCGGATATTTGTAATACAGTGTGAAAAATGGGAAAATGGCGGACCAACTGTATAGGGACCACATTGTAGGGGGGGTTATTTTAAGTATAAAAAAAATTAAGCAAGTAGTAGATTTAAGTTTTAAAAACTCGTCACGCTGCCGATTTAAGAAACATCTAAAAAAGGTTGTTATAAAAACAAAGTACTCAGCACTACAGCGACTTAAAGTTAATATAGTTGACAGATGTATTTCCTGTTATTCCTGTCAAAAAACCCAAACTATATTATTATTAACAAAATTTAACTTTTTATTTTTAAAACGTCATTAGAAACTTGTGTTTAATTGTTTTATATACAGTATTTTTACAGATGGGGTTAAAAAATCATTTTTTCTTCATTTCTATTCTCAAAATAAATCGTTTCTATTGACATGTTCGAAGCATTTACTTTTCAATTTATCTCCAAAAATAAATTTTTATCGCAGTTTTAAGCATTTTTAATACTTTTTATAAGTAAATATTATTGACATCCATGGTGAGATTTTACCTACCGTGATAATAATATTGATTTGTTGAAAAGAAAATAAAAAATTAAAGAAAATGATTTTTATCAAAAAACTTTTGTCCAAAAGTTTAAGAAACTTTTTAACCATAAACAGTAAAATGATTTAACGCATATTTTGGGGGTTTGAAATCAAGCAAAAACATTTATCAAGAATAAAATTTTCTGAGACATCTAAAATATTTGTTTTTTCTGTTTGTAACCCCATCCGTGAACATACAATACAGTAAGTATAGTATAATGAGTGTATATACAGTAGACTGGGCCATATATATAAGTATATCGAAAATATTGTTTGGGGTGACAAAAAAAAATCTATCATCGCAATTTTAGATTTTTTTTTCCTGAGCGAGTTTTTGTCTCAGATATCCCAAACCATTGAGTTTAACAAAATTGACTTAAAAAATTTTTTTGAAGAAACTTGAATGTTCTACAAAAAAGGTTTGATTGGAATTTCCCGTCAGATAAACCTTTTCGTACAATAATGCCTTAAAAATTGGTATAGCTTTACAATTTGATATTTTAACTTTGGAATTTTGGAATTCATGTAAAAATCAGTACCCGGAAAAAAAACCGATAGATATGGAAAATCAAATGCTCTACATTAAAAGTCTCCAAAAATTTTTGCTAAATTCACTTCATCAAAAGTTATTCAAGGTTAAATTTGAAGTCAAAACGAAATTCGTGTTTTTTCCGCTCTAGATTTTTTTTTGGGTCAGTTAAAAACTTGAATTCTTTTATCGATGATAATCTTTATGTTACTGATAAAATTACTGAAAATTAAAAAAAAATAACACAATAGAGTTTTTTCGCTCTAAGAAGAAAAAATCAAATTATCACCCATAAAAAAATCTGCAGAGGAAAAAATAATAATTTCGTTTTGACTTCAACTTTAACCTTGAATAACTTTTGATTAAGTGAATTTAGCCAAAAATGTTAGGAGGCTTTTTTTGTAAAGCATTTGATTTCGCATATGAATTACAAAATTCCAAAGTTAAAAGATCAAAATGTATATACCAATTTTTAAGGCATGATTTTAAGGAAACGGTTTATCTGACGGAAAATTTCATTTTAACCTTTTTTGTAGAGCATTTAATTTATAAAAAATATTTCTGAGTCAATTTTGTTAAACTCAATAGTTTGTGAGCTCTTCGACAGCAACTTGCTGAGGAATTTTTTTTTAAATTGCGATGACAGACCTTAAAGTATTAGAACAGCGGATGCAAATAGTAGGAAAAGCATAAGGGAAGTGGCACGCGAATTTCCTGTTCACAGTTCAGAGGATTATGAAGGACGTTCATTTAATGCGAGTGCAGCACCTGCAGCCGAAGGATAAGCTATCCCGCTACAGTGGAATATTGTAGTGGTTACTATAGTACTATAACCCGAAAACTATTGGTCAAACAAATTTTGTATACAAAATAACCCCTCCTACAACGTGGTATACCAAAGGTGGGCCATTTTACTGACCACCTTTATACGGTATATAGTCCCATGTTCATTACGAGAGTGGGTCAATATATCCTTACAAATGTATATTGATGGCGCTAATATTAGCGAAACAAGTATATTTCTGATAAATGCAGTCTGTTATTACACTGCTGTCATATTCATCGCGTGTCTTTTTCACAATCAATTTAAAGAAACAAATTTTTATATTTTCAATGATAAAAATAAAAGTTTTTTACTAGGACTTCTAAGGACTTATTGACTTTTCTTTATAAATATGTTATGTTATAGACAAAAAAATTAATTTTTAAATTTTACCTCAATGTTTTTGACGTTGTATATCTATTTGGATCTGGCTCCCACCATGTTCTCTTTATATTTCTTACCATTATATCAAAAGACTCATCTCTATCTATACGGATATTTTCAGCTACACTATGAATAAACTGCATCACCCAAAAGGGTTTCCCCATAACAGTTTTGTCATTCGTCGTTTTTGAACTTTTTCGTTTTCTATATAAATTAAAAGAAATCAACAAAAATTTTAAATAAATGATCTATCTTACGTTGGTAAGCTTCCTTGTGAACTTGATTGCGAAAATATGGGCCAGTATAATTTTTTCTGTTTACATTCTTCAACGTTCACCCATTCAGGCCTACTTAAGGGCCAGGATTGCTTCAAAATGTATGCTTCAACAACATACTTTGTCTCAATTTCAACACTTTCAATAGAAATTGGCTGTGTTTTACTAACACGACGAGAACTAGATGAGATTTTGCTACTTTGACGGCTAAGTTTATCAGAAGATTTTTTTGCGGAACCAGTAACAGAGCTTTTAGACCCTTTAGATCCTCTACTAGTTTTGCTATCTCTTTTTAAACTACTCTGTGAAGAAGGTTGAGGAACAATGTCAACTTTTGTATTCATCTGCAGCAAAACAGCAGGCATAATAATCTTTCCTACACCTCTAATCTCCTGTATCAACTCGTAAGTAGAGGTAAACAATAATAACTTCATTTGCACATCTTCATTCGAAGTAATTAATCTCAAAGTTATTAAGGTCGGTTCTTTGATTATTATAAAATACCTTAAAATCCTGTCATTATAATTCGGTATGTAGTTATCCACAATCCTAGTGGTATGTATATCACCCGATGTAACTATTATGTCGTTTTCTTTTTGTGTTTTACACGTGGCCAGCATGAGCCGCCAAAAATATTTATTCGCGTCCTTAGCGTAACCGTAACACAAAATTGTGTAACCGTTGACGTTACTTTCGTAACTATTTACGCTTACGTTACAGTTGAATCTACCGACCTCTTCTTTGGTGTCGTTATTGAACACTCTTATCATATATTTTCCTATTTGGAAGTAGAACTTAATTTTCACTATAATAGGATCAGGATTGTTGATAAAAAAAATGTAACGGCATACAACTGCCCAACTATTTTCCTGGAGGATAATGCTGCCCTTAAAGTCTTGAATGTTAATGACTGATAGAAGATCATTGTAAAAATCGTATTTTATTGCTATGTCGTGCATTATTGGGTCGAAAAATACTGTTCTTAACATGTAAGGTAAAGTATTGAGGCGATTTTTACTTGAAAATACTGATGTGTATACTTTTTTACATAACTCGAATATAGGGATGTGTTCCTTATGTTCAGGTTTATGTCTATTTAATATTGACCTTACGTATATACCTTTGAATAGAGCTTGTATTTTAATAGTAGATCTTTCCATTAATTTGTACAATTCTACATCTTCCTCTTTAAGGTACTGCAATGAATTACAAATTCTGTAACTTGGATCAAAATATATTCTTTTAAAGAATATGTGCAAGGCTCTTATCACGTTTTTGTGCTGAGATTTATCCATGTATTTTTGCACTGTTTCTATGAGTTTATCAAACATATAATCGTGCATTTTTATGCATTCAGGTTTAGTTAGATCGTGGGTTTTATATATTGAGTGGAATATTCTTAATTGTTCGCTGAATTCTGGCCGACCAAACTCTTGTACTGTCTTTCCGTAATTACTTGCTATATCGATGCAAAATTGCTGCAGTCTTTGCGATTCAGATGTCATTGCCATCATTATTTGCTCGCTGTTGCCTATGGTGATTGAAGAATCGGTTAGAATGCTGCAAATGTACGGCGTTTCTGATTTTATCCACAGTTTGAATAAGTGTCTGCCTGCAGGTAATTCCAGAATAGCTGTTTTGGTACCGATGGTTCGTATTTTAAGTAGAATATCTTCACTTTTATTATCATACCAAGTGTATTTCTGCACTGCCAAGTACGATAGTGGTGAGTCTACTTTGTCGGGAAATTTTGCCAGGGTCTTGCATTTAACTTTTCTGTTTGGTAGAAATGTTTTCATTTGCATTATTAGCTTGTAGCAAGAATCATCATTCAGATCTATGTCAGGGACTGATTCAACTTCTTCTATCACGACCTTGTTTAATATTGGTACATTGGCAAGTTGCGATAAATTAAAAACCAAAAATTTAGAGTCAATACTATCCATAAAACCATACAATGATTCACTACCAACCTCTATGGCATTGCCAACGTAGGTAATAGACTGCCATGTTGGTGCAGCTTTTCCTTTTCCTTTTCCTTTACCTTTAACCGGTGATCCAGGCTTATTTCCTGGTTGATTTAAATCGCTTATAGTATACTTTATTTCATACCTCGACGGTTTAAAATATATAATAATATAAATGATCTCTTCAGCAATTTGACGATAGTCAATCCACAGGGATGGATCGGTTATTTCTACAGGTACCTTTGATTTTTTCTCTTTTTTTTGTTTTTTCTTTTTGTTTTTGCCTTTTTTACCTTTTTTGGCGTCTGACGCTTCCACCATGGCTTCGACAGCCTTCTCGAATGTTTCAACGTTTTTCATTATTTCCAAGGAGTATTGGCTTGGTGGGTCTTTAAACGAGTGTTTTCGAAACGCGCTGTAGATTTTAAGGCATTTAATATTGTTCATATCGACTTTTTCGGGTAGTATTCCCTGTTGGACTGCCCAATCACACCACCGGAAGGTTTTCCAAAAAGCCAGTTCTGAAATAACACTTTAGTAAATATGTATATGTAACGCACAAGGTGTTTAGAAACTCAAACCAAATTAATCACTCTATATAATATAATATTTAATGTACAAATTATTACTCTATGCTTTTTTACTCAATATATTTTTTGCTAAATGATATAGGATAGAAAATATATATAATAGAAAAGTTGGTCTTTAATGTAACTAAATAATGAATTGGAATTGTTTGATGGGTGAATTTCTTCACCCTGTATATTAGGGTGATTAAAAATACATCATTTTTGAATTTGACTGAGTACCGGGCTGAAAAAATTTAGAAGCCAAAAAAGCCAGTGGGTATATTTTTAGATGGAAATAAAGGAAATTGTTTAAAATATTATTTAAAAATTATAAAATAGTGGGTTTTATAAAATGGTGTATAACTTCTTTAATTTTAAATTAGTTTAAGAAAACTTTATACGGTTGTCTGGTAGGATTTTAAAAAATACAATTTTTTATTTAAATTCAATTCCCAAAAATGTATACGAGAATTTTAACAAGACCTATGCGATTGTTATGCCTAGGTACTTGATTGCCCTGCTCTTCTCGAGTTTAGAAAGTCAAATTTAGAAGAAGAATGGATTGGAACAACCGATTAAATAATTAGGAAAAAGTACTTTAAGGAGGTAGTAAATAGAGACAATGAAATCTACCAACCCAATCCATCCATACATCCAAGCCAGTATACAAGATTAACTCAAGTTAAGGCTCCGCTACAAAAAATATTTTTAATAAATCCATTTGTTAAACAAATTCATCCCGTTGATTCCCTAAATGCAGCATTTGTCACCTTATTGGGCACATTTACCTCTTATAATCATTTTTAAACCCTATTATTTAAATGAAACTTTTTTGGGCATGGAACGGAAAAATTTTTGGTTACGCGTTACGTGTGAATAAATGGGTATCAATTGAGAGGGTTTGACGAATAAAAAATATTAAGGTTAGCGACGTCATACCATATCAACCCGGCACTTATCAAATTCAAAAATGATGTTTTTTAAATCATATGCATGACATGTGTTAATATAATAGTATATTATGTATCAAGTTTGACAAACGTCATATTAGACAATAATTTAATTTAGGCTCGAGAGAGCTTCCGAGCTAGTTCTTAATTAAATGAGTGTCTAGAAAAGTTTATAAACGAATTGCATACTATACTTTTTTTACGACAAATACTTAATATTATCTAAAAATTATTTAAATTAAATATTTGTATAGAGCGACATTTATAAAACAATAAAGTAACCAACTTGGGAATTTGTATTAACCGGCACGCCGGTGAAAATGTCAAATTTGTATGTGTAAATAGAATGTATCCCATGAAAATGGACCGTTTAATCAGATATAAAAGCAGTCTTTTATAGTGAAAGTAAATAAAATGTTTAATGGGCACTCCACGGTGGAGTCTCCACCCGAAATTAAGTTAAATCTAGTTTGCCTTGAGAAACTATGTATTTAATACTTTTGTAGTTTTGCATTGAGATATAAAAATTACATTTAGTATTATTTTACAAGGACACTTTATTTTAATGATTGTATGACACTTGACAATTGTCAACTAACTTTAGCCCGTGACTAAAATTCTATAAAGCCACAACTTGTCAATGTGTATTTAAAAGGTCACTTAAGCCCGCTGAACAACAGCCCGGTAACGAGAACGGGAACGGGAACCTAAACGGTAAAGGTGGGAGAGACTTAGCAAACACTATCTATCAACAGTGGTTTCTTAGTCTCTCCCAGCTTTACTGTTCAGATTCCCGTTCCCGTTCCCGTTACCGGGCTATTGTGCAGCGGGCTTTAGTGTCATGGAAACATGTATGTTTTAAAGGTGAAAGTAAACAATTTATTTTAATCCTTTAAATATAATTATAATCATAATTTACCTGGCCAAGGTTCTGGTTTTATTATAGGAATATCTCTTGTTTGATCTATTAAAAATTGATGACTCCAGCAAGGGGATATGTCAGTTATAGCATCTCTTTCATAAGCTCTAAAGAGAAATTTTTTAAAAATAGTTTATAATTATTAAAATTGTTTCTTTTTTAATATTTAAGGAGATGCATTCCAAAACTTGGCTTATCCATATTAGTTGCTTTTGAGCAAAATGTAAAAAACCTAACACATGAGTACTAATGCATATTAGGCCAACCGAATACTTTAAACGAAATATACAAGGTGTCCCTAAACTTAGTGGCATACATTTAGGAGCAGATTAAGCAAGTCAAAATAAGACGAAAATCTAAATAAATATTTTTCCTAATTAGGTATGTTTAAAAGATACAGGGTGATAAAGTGTTACTTATCATATCAGTTTTTTTTATATAACTTCCACTATGGTATAGAATAGAATAGAATAGAAGCTGTTGTCCAGTTACCTAAAAGACAGACAGCAGGTAACCTGTTACCGTGGAAAGTGTTCCGAGGAAATGAACATTGATCATGGGGTCCCTCAAGGGTCAATTCTGGGGCCTCTGCTATTCTTAGTTTATGTCAACGACAAAGAGTCTTCCATGTCGCATGGTGGGTTGGTGTTGTATGCTGATGATGCTAACTTTACCAATTGCAATAGGGAATTTTTCGAATTGAAAAGTAGCATGGATGCCTCGATCTCCAGTGCTGAGGACTGGTTTTTAACACAACGTCTAAGTCTTAATAGGCCAAAGACGGTGAAAATGATATTTTTCCTGAGAAAACCGGAGACAGAAGTAAGCAGTCCTGAATATGTTAAATTCTTGGGCATTTTCTTGGACCCAACACTTAAGTTTGATCATCATGTGAATCAGACAGCAAATAAACTAACAAAAACAATCTACTTAATAAAAACACTGACAGGTTCGGTTGAAAAGAGTGTTATTCTAACAACTTTTCACGCGTTGTTCCAGACAGTTTGCATGTATGGTATACTCGTATGGGGTCACTCTGCCCACGCAGAACGAATCTTCTCTCTACAAAGAAGAGCAATAAGGGTAATTGCAAAAATAGGGTATAGAGAAGATGCCAAGAAACACATTAGTGACCCAAAAATTATGACTGTGCCGTCAAGGTACATATACGAAAAAAAAAACTTATCACGCTATGCGTCTGGAGTCAACGTACAATGTACGTCCATGTACGACGTACATTGTACGTCGTACATGGATACAATACTCGAAACAACCGGGACCTCAGAGTGGAATATTGTAGGCTGTCTAAATCTTGGAATGCATCATCTTATTATGCCCCCTTATTTTTTAATAAACTTCCCAATCATATTAAAATCTTGGAGGGAAATAAATTTAATACAGCTTTGAAAACGTACCTGATAAATCAAGTTTTTTATTCGTATAAGGAATTCCTAAACCCTGCTATGTAATTATTTATTTTAAACTTTATAATGTATAACTGTATCTACGTGTTAACTATCTTTAATGTTTTACTTTTGTTTATGTACAATTTTATTTTTAAGTTCTGTATATCTATGTATCTGTATTTTTATGACCGGTGCAAAAATTGTATAATTTCAAGCATCAATAAATCTATTCTATTCTATTCTATGGTAGACTTGGAAAGGTGATATTTTGTGAACAGTCACTTACTACACTGTTCAAAATTTCATGACCATTTTAACACCAAATTAACACCATATATGGTCTATATCGATACAAACCAAAATGGTGTTAAATAGGGTTCGTTGGTCCGGTGTAAATTCAAATACTAAAATAGTGTTAATTTAACTTTCACACAGTACTACACAGAAAAAAGGAAAAAAAGGAAACAGGAAGTTCCTTGACGCATTACTAGTATATTACCAGTGGCATTATTAAAAAAATGGAACCTTCAACTTGCTAGAGATAATGTTTTTAGTTCTAGTATCGAACAACTTGTAGTGTCACACCAAAGCAAAGGACTACCTGAGCTTATATATTCTTCATGTAAGTCAACAGAGGCGAGATTTAAGAACATCACGTGATCCACAAAAAAAAAATTATGGGTCAACTAAATTAATATAGTTAAATGAACTATTCCTTTTTTTCTGTGTAGGTGCACTTCTCAAATATTTTTAGATAAACACCGTTTTGGTGTTCATTTTCAACCATAATTCATGGTGTTATATTAACACCACTTGGTGTTGAATTTTGACACCATTTTAGGATTACTCTTTACACCACAGATATTTTAAACAGTGTACCAAAACACATATTCACTCATAATTTCAATTGTTCGAGTGAACGCAGTGTCGTAGAAACAGGGGTTGCTTAATGTTATTGTCCCATACAAACTTTGAGGTTAGGTTTTTATACCATTTGATGCAATTTTTCGACTACTCAGTTCGGCTACTATTAAAAAAGTGTAGCTCTCAAACTTCGATAAAATAAACCGTTTCCCAGATATATTCGAGATTTCAATAATTGTTATATCGCATTAAAGGACTAAAAGGTAACAATTTTTTTAGTTGAAAAAACTACAATTTTTTTTAATTTGACGGTCAGGGCAAAAAGTCCCGCGGCTCATGGAATGCCCTTTTTAGTTTTTTCAATTAAAAAATAAAATTTGTTATTATATACCTTTTAATCCTTTTAAATAATGCGATATAACAATTATTGTAATTTCGAATATCTCGGAAACGGTTTATTTTATCGAAGTTTGAGAGGTACACCTTTTTAATGGGAGCCGAACTGTGTAATCGAAAAATTGCATCAAATGTTATAAAAACCTAACCTTAAAGTTTGTATGGGACAATAAGCTTAAAGCAACCCCCGTTTCTACGACACTGTGTTTACTCAAACAATTGCAATTATGTGTGAATATGTGTTTTGGTAGTAAGTGACTATTCGCAAAATATCACCTTTCCAAGGCTACCATAGTAGAAGTTATATTAAAAAAAAACTGATATGATGGGTATCACTTTATCACCCTGTATTTTGGAAACATAAGAATTAGGAAAAATATTTATTTAGGTTTTCGTCTTATTTTGACTTGATCAATCTTTTCCTAAATTTATGCCAATAAGTTTAGGGACACCTTGTATAGGCATAAGTAAATTTAAAATAATTTAAAATTACCTACGTTCTTCGTGATAGATAAGACAAGTTTTGGAAGGACAGTAAATTTGTAAATGAATTTTAAATGGAATAAGGTGATTTTTAAAATATTATGAACTTTTCAGGCTATAGGGGGATACATGTAAATATACAGACACCACCAACTCATTGTTATTAAAAAGTGGATAAGCCGAGTTTTGGAATCGACCTCCTCATTTAATATTCTAGGTTTTCCTTATTTTAGTCATTTTTGATTTTGTTCACCAAAAATATACTTAAAAAATCTAAACAAAAATATTAAAAAACAATATATTTTACATTTCAAATTGCCCGGTGGCACGTATTAGTAAAAGTTGTCAGATTTGTTTTACATAATATTAACATATTTTTGGAGTTTAATCATAAAGAGTAGTTGGGTTTAGATAAAAATGTCCAATTTTGTCTAGATATTATATTATTAATATTTATGCTTAAGGAATTAAATAAAGTAAAATATATTAGCAAATTTAAAGAAAAAATTTATTATATTTTACCTCAAATCATTGCAACATGCAACCACATGGTTCCAGACTACACCATCGTCTTCTTCCTCGTCTTGAGCTCCTGATTTCTTACTTTTTTTACTTTTCTTGCTCTTCTTTGAAGATTTATCGGATTTTTTACTTTTCTTTGAAGATTTACTGGATTTTTTACTAGATTTTTTGCCCTTCTTATCCTTTTTTCCTTTTTTGCCTTTTTTACCTTTACCCCCTTTTTTGGCAGGTCCTTTCTTATCTCCCGGCCACGCAAAGTGATCGCCATACGCCGTGCATATTTGCCAAATTTCGTACGAACTTAATCCTGATAACATAAGTCGTTAACGAAATCAGGTCCGGACACTGAACAAAGGGTGCGCATTTAACCCTGTCACGGTAAGAAATCCGCTTTGACATGGGTTACAGATTATAGTTAAAATTAAATTATGACTATTGAGATTCAGACGAGGCAAATTGGTTTATGGTGTGAGCCACTTTTGGATAGATTTTATTTCCAGCCTATGTATGTCATACATTTTTAAAACTTAATGTGACTCATTATTTTTACTTGAACAATACAGTTATACTTAGTTATTATTAATGCAATGAAAACTATTAATAAAAAATCAAAGTTTCTGTGTAGTATACTAGATATATATATATAAGATGTACATTTTTCGTAACTATAACAGGGATTGCAATATAAAAATGTTGAATTTTAAGTTTTAAAATTCTGGAATTCTGCATTAAAAAAGTTTGTCACACGAGCCAAAGCCGAGAGAGGAATATGCAATTCCAAATGTGTTTCAGACTATACTTTGTGTACGTTTCTGAAATATTCCATAGGAAAATAATTTAATTGAAAGAAACTGAGGTTGGATTGGTCTAAAAGTTGTTAGATAATAAACACAGAGATGGCGCCACCACTGTTTATGCCGCACATATTTCCACACATATGCTTATTCGCTATATTTTCAAAATATTATTTTGTATAAGTAGATGTTGTTTTCTTTTTTGAGAGGAAATTGGTCGATTTGCCGTGTCATTTTTACCTTATGCGTATAGTCAGTTCATAAGTGGGGGATTTTAAATATATGATATATCATATATATATATATATATATATATATATATATATACATACCATAATTATATTAAATTAAGTCCACCGATGATACTAATTGTCAACTTAATAAAATTTAGTTTATATCAAATTTTAAGGTTAAGCTCACATCAATTTGTGTGGTTTAGCTTTATAAAAAGAAAAAAGTGGCATAATATGCATATTATAACACTATAAACACAATGAAAAAAACAATGCGAAAACAATTGGTATACAACAGAAAGTGGCTTTTTTAAATTTCAATTATTGAGGAGCATCACCGAGAGCAAAGCTCGCGTATGATGTTTTATTTCATTTATTAAATTTATTTATTTATTTATTTTATATGTGGGATGTGGCCACAGTATGGAGATTTTGAGTATGGTTTTAAGGATTTGTAGGATGTCCCTTTTTTCAGAGTTCCCTTTCAGAAAATAAGTTATCACAAGTATTTATCAAAATTTGTTGGCAGTGCGTACCTTACACCTTAAAAGTAACTTTACCTTTTGTTGGGACTTTCTGAGGAATCCATCCCGTAAAGCATTGCACAACATCAAAATCAACAATCTCCTTATCGTCAAACCATGTTAAGCTGGCGACTTTAAAAATTGCCTTTGACAGCAAATACGGCCACAATTCTATAGTGTCGGGACCTTTAACCGCGATTTCGATTGTCTTTCCAGATTTCTTTGATTTTTTGCTGCCTTTTTTGCTTTTGCTTTTTTTGCTCTTGCTCTTCTTGCTACTTTTTTTGCTGCTCTTCTTGTCTTTCTTGCTGTTTTTTTTACTGTCTTTTCCTTTCCCTTTTTTGTCTTTGCCTTTTCCTTTAGGTGGTTCTGGTTTGGGCGGTGGAGGGGGTTCAAGTTTCGGTAAAACAAAAGATGGTAGAAGAATTTTTCCCGATTTGTCCACTGGGATTTTATCATCCACGTATATTTTTCTCCAGGTGCCCATCCAAAATAGTCTTACAATATATTTTCCTAAATAAACAAAGTATATTTATACCAAATAACACTAGTTTACAAAATGGAAAAGAAGTTCTGCCCACCATATCCCATTATAATTTTCCCATGTATTTTGACCCACATAACACGAAAATCACACTCCATTTTTTTTATGGAAGCGTTTTTGAGATATGAATTTTTAATTGTTTTTTTTTTTATTTTTGGAGGTGTCTTGACGTTCTGTAGTATAGTTTGAAATCTTATTGATCGATTTGGCCCTTAAATTAAAGGTATTTGAGCCCTCTAAAAACGTACTTTTGATATGGGAAAAGTATTTTTATGCTAGCGATTTTGATAACTAAAAAAAATCGTTTGCATGGCAAAAATTGAGGTCGAAAATTTACATATAGTCCTGGGGAAAGGTTTAAATTAGATACAGAAAACTAAATTTTTACAAAAAAACAAGATTATGTTGATAAAAATCCATGGATAAATGGCAAAGTTATCAATTTTTTAGTGGAATACCAAAATTCAGCTTTTTGATGATTTTTACTTTTTTTTTCTTTTATTTTGTAATATGTTTATTCTTTAATAAAAACCTAATTAAAGTGCATGATTAGAGTTTTTTACGTACTTTTTTCACCGAAAATTTAAATTTGACATGACTTTGCAAACGTGAATCCTTTTGTTTCTCGTGTTGGCATAGTGACATTTTACTGTTTTTTTGACATTTCAACAATGTATTTTTATCATTGTTTATTTAGTTAATAAAAAGTGTAAAATGAGTAAAAGATGCAGAGTTCAAGTGCGTAAATAATCCGGACAATCTGGGCGACGTAAGTGATGAGCACGGAGAACGTTTTTACCAGAAAATAAAGGCTATTGAGCGGCGGTATCACGGCTTCTGGGATGCAGCCATGATGGGCCCCTAATACGAGAAACGAAATACGAAAGCAACAAAAAACAAAGAAGGAGCCAGAATTTTTTAATCCTATGCTTATTACAACAAAATAAAACTTTCAATATCTTCAATGTTCAATATAGAATTTAATTTCAATATTTAATGTTTAATATAAAAATCAATGGTCAATATTAAAGTTTATATAGGTAATTCAATAAAATGAAGAAAAAACGTAAACATTCACGGAAAGCTGAATTTTTATCTTCCACTGTTTTTTTTACTGTCTTTTCCTTTCCCTTTTTTGTCTTTGCCTTTTCCTTTAGGTGGTTCTGGTTTGGGCGGTGGAGGGGGTTCAAGTTTCGGTAAAACAAAAGATGGTAGAAGAATTTTTCCCGATTTGTCCACTGGGATTTTATCATCCACGTATATTTTTCTCCAGGTGCCCATCCAAAATAGTCTTACAATATATTTTCCTAAATAAACAAAGTATATTTATACCAAATAACACTAGTTTACAAAATGGAAAAGAAGTTCTGCCCACCATATCCCATTATAATTTTCCCATGTATTTTGACCCACATAACACGAAAATCACACTCCATTTTTTTTATGGAAGCGTTTTTGAGATATGAATTTTTAATTGTTTTTTTTTTATTTTTGGAGGTGTCTTGACGTTCTGTAGTATAGTTTGAAATCTTATTGATCGATTTGGCCCTTAAATTAAAGGTATTTGAGCCCTCTAAAAACGTACTTTTGATATGGGAAAAGTATTTTTATGCTAGCGATTTTGATAACTAAAAAAAATCGTTTGCATGGCAAAAATTGAGGTCGAAAATTTACATATAGTCCTGGGGAAAGGTTTAAATTAGATACAGAAAACTAAATTTTTACAAAAAAACAAGATTATGTTGATAAAAATCCATGGATAAATGGCAAAGTTATCAATTTTTTAGTGGAATACCAAAATTCAGCTTTTTGATGATTTTTACTTTTTTTTTCTTTTATTTTGTAATATGTTTATTCTTTAATAAAAACCTAATTAAAGTGCATGATTAGAGTTTTTTACGTACTTTTTTCACCGAAAATTTAAATTTGACATGACTTTGCAAACGTGAATCCTTTTGTTTCTCGTGTTGGCATAGTGACATTTTACTGTTTTTTTGACATTTCAACAATGTATTTTTATCATTGTTTATTTAGTTAATAAAAAGTGTAAAATGAGTAAAAGATGCAGAGTTCAAGTGCGTAAATAATCCGGACAATCTGGGCGACGTAAGTGATGAGCACGGAGAACGTTTTTACCAGAAAATAAAGGCTATTGAGCGGCGGTATCACGGCTTCTGGGATGCAGCCATGATGGGCCCCTAATACGAGAAACGAAATACGAAAGCAACAAAAAACAAAGAAGGAGCCAGAATTTTTTAATCCTATGCTTATTACAACAAAATAAAACTTTCAATATCTTCAATGTTCAATATAGAATTTAATTTCAATATTTAATGTTTAATATAAAAATCAATGGTCAATATTAAAGTTTATATAGGTAATTCAATAAAATGAAGAAAAAACGTAAACATTCACGGAAAGCTGAATTTTTATCTTCCACTGAAAAATTCATAACTTCGCCATTTATCCATGGATTTTTATCATCAGCAGCTTATTTTTTTCCTTTAAGTATCAAGTATAACAAATTAAACTGGATTTATCTTTTCGATTTATATCTTTCTCAGAAAGATATGTAAATATTTGACCTCGATTTTTGTAAAAAAAAGGACTTTTTCAACTTTATAAAATCGCTAGGATCGAACTACTGGGCCGATACCAAAACTATACAAGAGAAAGTTGTAGAGGGCTTAATTGCTTTTAATTTAATTGGATTTTGGTCAAATTGATCAATTACAACTCGAAGTATACAATAAAACGTCAAACACCTCAGAAAATTAAAAAAAAAACAATTGAAAATTCATGTCTAAGTGTGATTTTCGAGTTTAGTCAGCCAAAGTACACAAGAAAATCATAGTGAGACATGGTGGGCAAAATGGCTGTAAACTAGTGTAATTTTTTTTTTTTTATTTAATTGCATGGTGAGAATTAATTTAATAATTTAACTAAAGGGCGTAGGATAGAGTTTAATATAATTTCAGTAGTTTCAGTTTTCAATATTTACCCACCAATTGTAATCTCTCCCACGTCCAGTATTATTAGATAACCTTATTTACCTTAATTAAAACACAAACTCGAATGAATTTACATGCCAATTTAATTGACTGCTTGTATAATTATTTGACAATGTTATGTTTCTAATATGGTTGGTTAAACACATTAGGCTTATCTATGGTCAATAAGGCAATACATTGTTAGCCGATATTCTCTCGTAACCTGAATGTAACTACAAATATCTCAAGTTTACGTAAAGCGGCAGTGTACCATTTAAAATTGTACAATGTTCTATAAAACATCACGGGTGACTTTCATAACAGCAATAATAAGTTTTGTGAAATTGTAGTGATTATTATTCTGCACATTAATTATTATTTTGAATTTAAAATAAGGAGATTACTGTTATGCGCATTAGTGTTACTAGTACTTACTGTTTTTTTCTCCGTATGGAAGTTGAAAATTTTAAGAAATGTGTCATTAATAAAACTATTAAATTAATATAAAGGTTTAAAGCCAGGGATGTAGGAAAACCTTGGTCAAAATGTGGGGTTGCCAACCGTCCTATTTTCACAGAAAAAGTTCCGCCTTGTGGAATGTCCTGGAGTGTTCTGGATTATTATTATTCCCTCTTTTTATTTTCTTACACAGTTTGTTCCAGAACTCACGCCACAGAAAAAAAGGAAACGTGCCAAAAGTAATGCAGAACACTTATTTGAAAATTAAAATTGTCTAACGCAAAGCATAAGCGAGATAATATTTAATGTAGTAATGTTAATAAAATTTATTGTTCTTTGACATGGAAAGTTTGAAGATACGTAGAAGAAATGATCGCTTGATTTATCTATATAAAATAGTCCACGGTATAATTTTTGACCCCGATATTCTCTTAAAAATAAAATTTCATATTCCAAGACTAAATTCTAAATATCACCAAGCTTTCTATGTAAAAGCTGCAAATACCAATGAACGAAAGAATTCTCCTATAAATTCAATGTGTCTGATTGAAGAGAATTGTGATATTTTTAATTTACCTTTAAATCAATATATTGGAAGAATAAGAGCCTTACCTTAAAAGTACCCTACTTTTTTACACTGCATTTATTTGGTTATAATTATTTATATCCCTTGTATGGACGTTTCTCCGTTGGTTTAATAAACGATTATTATTATTATTATAAAAAAAACGATAGCCAATCCCAACAGCTGGCCATAGGGAATTTTTTAAATTTCTAGAATACTTAATTTTAACACTGCTGTCAATTTTTGTTCCTCTCATTATATATCATTTTAAGTTATAATGTTTTTCTCCGCTGATTATGTCGAAATGATGATTATTTATTGGGATTATTCCCAGCGCTTTCCAATCGTCCTCTGGACTGTAAAGTGATCCTTGCTCCTAAACGTATTAGAACGGCGGAAAAAAAAGAAGCTATTTTAAATGTCTTTAATGCAAATAGTAGAAAGAGCATAAAAGAAGTTGCACGCGAACTGGATGTTTCCCATTCTACAGTTCAGCAGGTTATGAAGGACGATTGGCAACAACCTTTTTACTTTACGCGAGTGCAGCACCTGCAGCCGAAAGATTATCCCGCTAGAGTGTTATTCCGTGGGTGGTTGCTAGAGCAAGAAGATTTGTCTAGCATTTTGGCTCTGGGGTACAGAACTGGTTGTTTGACCTATTACCTAGATACTATTACCTGGAATTTTTTTTTTAATTTTTTTATAAATAATTGTTATTGCTATTAGTTGAGTTTATTCAGGGTCGGATTCAGAAACAATTTTTTGGGGGAAACTAAGTATCTTATCCAGGGGTAAATTCGATTTGTTAACCTCAACATTTTTTCCCAGTACTGAAGCTCTGAATTTCATTAAACCTGTTTTCATTGCGTACTATTAACTACTTATACTGCGTGCTGTTTTCAAACCAAAATGTCCTGTTCTCCAAAAAT